TAACGGGGGGGGGGGGGACAAAACGCTTGGATAACAACACACAACATACACACTCTCTCATATCGCCTTTTCTTCTCTCAGAGACGACACCCAAACCCTAAATTTCTCTCCTGTATCTCTACAATTCCTCTCTCCTGCTGCTTCCGTAGCTTCAAAGACCAAAACTTTCGTGTGTTATCGGCATCAATGCCATGTGTCGGAACATGGATACATCCGCCGACATGGTCCCGGTGTGTTCTGATGATCTATATGCGTAGTATCTCGTTTTGCGTTCTGATAGCCATGGCTGTGAAAGTAGGATGACTTCAGGTCCTATGAAATTGACGGGTTTGTATCTTCCCATAACCGGTACGGGTTTCAGGTGTTAATCGTTTATTTTGGGGTCTTTATCCTGTCGGATCTTGGGTTGTCGAAACCGGTCTTGGTGGAATTGTGGTGGTCGATAAGTGTAGATAACAAATCTTTTGATTTATTGGCTCATGTTCTATGCTTAGAAGCTCGAATGTCTTCGGCAATTATGTGATTTCGTGTAATCGGGATGTGGGTTTGTTCTTGGAAAAGTTGGAAGCTTTAAATTAGATGAGCCACCGGAAAATTCCAGCAATAGTCAGGAGCGCTTATACATTGAGTTCAAAGCTATGTCGTTCAAGAGTCTTTTTCAGGACATGAGAGAAGAGTTGGGCAGTATTTCTAGAAAAGGGTTGGATGTGAGATTCGGGTATGGGATGAGATCAAGGTCTCACCGAGTGGTTCAGGATAGTTCGGTTACAGTTGATGTTTTTAAGCAGAGCTGTTGGGCTAATATGCCGTCGGAGCTTCTGAGGGACATCTTGATGAGGATTGAGGAATCTGAAGAAAGTTGGCCCTCTAGAAAGAATGTAGTTGCTTGCGCCGGTGTTTGTAGGAGCTGGCGAGAAACTGTGAAGGAGATTGTGAAAGTTCCAGAAGTTTCGGGCAAGTTGACATTTCCGATTTCCCTTAAGCAGGTTTGAGGATCCTATAATCCTTTTTTGGATTGACTTGTTTGCTTATTCAGGCTCGTTTTACCATAAGTAGCAATTCCATAAGCATATGTTTTGCAATCCATTGTCATACTTGTTTTGCAGCCGGGTCCAAGGGGATCACTTGTTCAATGCTATATAAAGAGAAACCGTGGCAGCCAAACATACTATCTATGTCTCGGGTTAAATCAAGGTAAAAAAATAATAGATGCTATTTGTTTTTCTCTATGTTATTCACTTAATCTCGCATGATTGTTCTTCAAGTATGTTTGTTCGACTGCATGTTAAGTTGCAGATGAACAAAATATTTACCACGTTAAAACTGTATTCATACAGAAACCGAGTTCCTCTTGTTCTTATATTCAAGCTCCATCTCCATGCAGAACTAAACTTACGTGGAATTAACGTCGAAGTGTTTGTTTTTTTCTGGGTCAAAACAGTTTCGAACGATGATGGGAAGTTCCTTCTTGCTGCAAAGAGGATTCGGAGACCAACTTGTACCGATTACGTCATCTCACTAAATTGTGAGGATGCCTCAAAGGGAAGCAATACCTATATCGGAAAGCTGAGGTACACACCATTGTAATGAATAAGTACCCTCATCTCTATAATTATGTGTATGAGCCTTACAACTTTCTTCCAGATCCAACTTTCTCCGGACCAAATTCACCGTCTACGATGCTCAGCCCTCTAATCCTGGAGTTCGAGTAACCAGAAGCCGCTCGACCAGGCTTCTCAATTCAAAACAAGTTAGCCCTAGAATCCCCACTGTCAACTATCCTGTAGCCCATATCTCATATGAGCTGAACGTCTTGGGTTCCAGGTGGGTGATGATCTGTGATAAATAAAAAGAAAAGAATGATGCTTTGATCATGATTCTGTTTTAATCTTTGATCGTTTGTTCTGTGGTGCCAGAGGTCCGAGGAGGATGCAATGCACAATGGACGGCATCCCAGTTTCAGCCATCAAACCTGGAGGAACAGCTCCCACTCAGACTGAACTTCTCCACAGCAACGTGGATAATTTCCCGTCGTCATTTCCCTTCTTCAGATCAAAATCAACTCGCTTGGAGGGTTTCCCTTCACCTGCGCAAAAAGATGGATTGCTGGTCTTGAAGAACAAAGCGCCAAGGTGGCACGAACAGCTCCAATGCTGGTGCCTCAACTTCAACGGGCGAGTCAGCGTTGCTTCAGTCAAAAACTTTCAGCTCGTGGCTGCTCCAGAGAACGGGCCAGCAGGACCAGAGCACGAGAACGTGATTCTCCAGTTTGGGAAAGTTGGGAAAGACGTGTTCACAATGGATTACCAGTATCCCATCTCTGCGTTCCAGGCATTCGCCATTTGCCTTAGCAGCTTCGACACCAAGATAGCCTGCGAATGAGAATGACCCATCTGGCAAAATTTGATCTTTCTTTTCCTGCTGCAAGAATTCGTATAAAGGGTTGTAGCTTTTTCATTTGTTTGGTCTGAGATTTCTGGTTTCCGGGTAGGAGAAGGGTATGGAAGGTGAGATTGGTTTTGAGAGGGTTCGTGGGCTGTACATAGTGACTGTTCATGTTAGGGGAGATGGGCTTTGTTCCCTTTCGCAGTAAACTAAACCCTGATGTTTGATGTTGGTTCAGATGCTTCTTTTCTGTTTACTTCCGGTTTCTTTATTTGTTAAATTGTGTACTCTCATGTTGATTTTGTCCAACTTATTTCTCAGTTCTGTTTCGGATATTTGAACATTACTTTCTTTTTGTTTCTTGGCACATCGAATCCATTCCAAGTACAACCACGAAAGCAGTGATGAGACGAACATTCCTCCACCTCTCGCCAAGTGTTCACTCAAAAAATCCTCCAAAACAAAGAACAATCCAGGCACTAATTTTCCAACTTCATGTAAACATAACGCCATTAGATATGATCGTCGGAAACACGATGGATCAAAAAAAAAAGAAAAGATTCAGCATCTTTTCTATGAATCTACATGAAGTAGTACCAAGAACCAAGATGCTCAAACCAAGACCATGTCTTTTTCTGCCATCATCGGAAAACAAAACACTTTAAAAGGTCCGATAACGTACGAAAGCTAAGAGATAAATCGACAGGAAAAGTTTTTTTATTTATTTAAAAAAAGATGTTTTTTAGACGCCTCATATTAGCATATTGGCACATTACTCATCGGCCGCAACAACCCGCGTCGAACCTCCACAGCCCAACGCGGTGCGCATAAGAGATGTTGCCGCAGCCTCATGCTTTCAGTCTTTTTGTCTTCATCGGCAAAACCATCCCTTTCAAACTACCACCATTTTTTCCAAACGAAAAAAAAAACGTGAAAAACTGCGAAGCTCAACGAGGCAGAGCGAATGAAATTAGGGAAGATGAACGCTAGGGTTTTCGCATCCCCTGCGGTCTTATAAGAAATTCCATATTTGTCCCTGCATTGTTTTGGGCCTCCAATGTATTTTGGGCCTTGACATTTCTGAAACACTTGAGTCCAATAAGTTAATGGGTTTCATCCAGGCCCACATTAGGCCTTAGGTGGAGGCGGCTATTTGATGGCCCCATACTGTGATGAATATGGAAACGAATCCCGTATGAACCTTAGTTTCGCTAAGCTTTTAGACACGGGTTGAGATGTTATCGTTGTGATATGTACGACTTTTGTCTGAAACCTCAGTGGATGTTTTGTGCACCGGACTGATCTGAATAGCTGTTGTGTCAAGAAAAACAATCATGGGTTATGGATTCTGATGGATAGAAAGAAAAAAAATGTGTAAAATTAGAAGGTAAACAGATGGGGGTGTAATAATGTTATGGGAGTGGTCCAATTCACATGTGGATGGATTAAATGGTCCAAAAAGGAAATGGCGAGAGGTGGAGGCTCAACCACTTGGATTGGGAAATATGTGGTGGTTTGGTTTCTCATCAAGGACCACCACAGGCCCACGCCATTTAATGTCATATAATAAAAAAAAATCCATTTCTAATAAATTCACCACTTTTAATTTAAAGCTAAAATTGTCCCGACGAAATTGATAGATCAGCTCAGTGGCATCAAAGAAAAATAGATTGATAAATAAATAATGGTCCCATGAAACTTTATAATTATGACAGATATGTAGTTGCCCCCCCCCCTACCATTCTTCTCCGAACATGATGGTAGTACAGACGCATGTATGTATGTGCCCCTACGCGGACATGCATGTACATGTACGCATGCATATACATATTCATGAGAAGTAAAGGAAAGTATTTGGAGCAGCCAAATGGTGGCGGGGGAATATGGGACATGTGTCTTTGATTTTATGGAGATGTTATAAAATGCTTCCTTCTCCTTGAAAATACATCATATTTAATGCAGTCATAAATGCATCATGTGTTAGTAATTGAATTTCATGTACAATGAGTTGCCCGATTATATTTGATGACACGAAAATGTTTCGCAATAAAATCGAAGGGCAGGCGGTGGTAATATTATTAGTAACTGTATCGGATTTTATTCCCATGGAAAGGGGGAAAAAATTACAATCATCAAGCTCGTACCAACACGCGTGATCCAATGATTGGATAATGCGAATTTGAAAAGCCACGAAAATGCCACGTCAATATCTACCGGTAAGAGAAAGAATAAGATGAAAGATAAATGTACAAAAGAACAGAACATAAATCATATATATAGATTTTTTCTTAGGAAACCTTTGTGTTTCTTATTTTTTTTTTACTTTTTATTAATATAGTTACAAATAATTTGTACGGTGTTGATGGAATTATTTAATTAATGTTGAGATAATCCAATATAAATTATATATGCTAAAACAATTATTGAAAATCACATATATTTATAAATTTTTACAAAAACACATCAATTATAAAATAATAATAAAATTTATACGAACAATTGAGTAACATTTTCCGATTACGAATGACTTACCGAAAATTTATATGCATTTATAAATATATATTGATAATATATATATATATATATATACATGTATATATATTATATATTTTTTATTGTTGTTATGGCAATTCGTAATGATATCGCGCGTTGATACTGATTTTTTCGATGAAATCACATCAATATTTGTAATGAGAAAATAATATTAAATTCATTTTAAAATTTGGGATAATTTTATAAATGAATGTTTTTAATCGATGAATTGATAAATCTTGATGATAAGGGATTTTTTTTTGGTGAACCACCTAAAAAATTACTCATTTAATAAAGTTGTGTTAGCTTTAAAAACATGAAATTACTTTTAAAATTTAGATATTTTTAATAAAATTGTAACAAATATATTTAAACAAACATGGATTTTCCAGTTGTTAAAAATAAAAATGCGGAATATAAAGAAAAAGATGATTGGACAGCGCAGGGACGGCAATAGGTGTTTCGGACCTGCTCACCCTACTAGGGCCCACTTTTGTACGGCCCATTGGGCTTTTTTTTACCCCATCCTTTTGTCAAGCTCTGTATAAATTAAGTGGTGCCTTTTTTGCCACATCATTAGATTCTTCTGTACCGCAAATCAACACCATATTACGAGGAGAGAGAGAGCTCTTCGTAACGATTGGACCAAAGAAAGATCCATCTCCTACACGATATTGTTTCATTATCGTTATATTTTATGTATATAGACATTGTGTTGACTGTATCACGCATCGCGACCGTCTTCAAGCTTGCCCAAAATCGACTTTGCTATTTTTTCCTTCAGAAAACGACATAATTTTGCATATGTAGAGGTTCGCCTTGAAGAGATCTGGATCTGGAGGTCGCGGGACGGGATCGAGCTCTAGTTTTGTATATGTCTTTTCTCTGTACGGGATCGAGATCTGGATCTGGATCGCCGAGATCTGAAGTTTTTTGCCGCAATGCAGAAAAGGTTCGCCTTGTCGTTTCCTGAAGAGGTGCTGGAGCACGTCTTCTCGTTCATACAGTCGGACACGGACCGTAACTCGGTGTCTCTGGTCTGCAAGTCGTGGTACGGGATCGAGCGATGGTGCCGGAGGAAGGTCTTTGTCGGGAACTGCTACGCCGTTGGACCCGCGACTGTTATCCGGCGGTTTCCGGAGGTAAGATCCGTGGAGCTGAAGGGAAAACCACACTTCGCCGACTTCAATCTGGTGCCTGACGGCTGGGGAGGATACGTGCACCCTTGGGTTGAGGCGATGTCGACGTCGTACACGTGGCTGGAGGAGATAAGGCTGAAGAGGATGGTGGTCACCGACGAGTGCCTGGAGCTCATCGCCAAGTCCTTTAAGAACTTCAAGGTTCTCGTGCTTTCTTCCTGCGAGGGATTCTCCACCGATGGTCTCGCTGCCATCGCCGCCAATTGCAGGTCTTGTGCTCTTTTCTTATTCTTCTATGCGTTGCGTTTGGTGGGTGAGAAGATGACGAAAAAGGAAACTGGAAGATTCCTAGTTCCTGCGCTCTGTGGTTGCTTTAGGATTATATAGATTCTAGCTGGAATATACTGATTGTGTCGCTAGGGTGTATGTTGATTTCTTGGTCAACATTTTTCGGAGAAATGGATGTTGTAGTTATAATTCTTAATCTAACTGTTTTCTCACAATTTCCCATGATTCCTCGGGCCTTCGTTCTATGTAACCCTCTTCACTCAATGCTTAGTTGTAGGCGAATCGCTTGTTGGCTCTCAGATTTTTGCAAGAGCAGCAGCTTGAACAACATAGATTCAATTTCTGCTCATCTTCTTTAGTTCTGGATGGTATTTTGTGCTACATTATTCTGTCGAAGCTACTTTTGCTCTGTTTTTAGTCCATCTGGTTTTGTTTCTTTGTCTTGTTTTCATGTTCTCCTGTTACTCTTTTTTCCCTGCTAATAATTAACAGGGTAGCCTAGCAAGTGATATTGTTGTTTCTCCTCGCTTTTTTTTAGGATTCTTTTGGGAAGTTAAGTTCGCTTTAGAAATGCATCTCTTATTCATTTTACCGTGGGGCCTTACGTTGGAAGCATTATGGTCTAGAAAGATATTATTGGTCTGATGCTTGTTAGTCTCCTTTGGTCTGTAGCTGACAAACCATTCCTTGTGCAGAAATCTGAGAGAGCTTGATTTGCGAGAGTGTGATGTGGAGGACGTTAGTGGGCACTGGCTCAGTCATTTCCCCGATTCATACACATCTTTGGTATCCCTTAACATCTCGTGCTTATCATCTGAGGTCAGTTTCTCTGCTTTGGAGCGTCTGGTGAGTAGGTGTCCTAATCTGAAGTCTCTCCGACTCAACCGTGCTGTCCCTCTGGAAAGGCTTGCGACCTTACTTCAGAGAGCACCACAGTTGGTTGAGCTGGGCACCGGTGGTTACACAGCTGAACTGCGACCAGATGTTTTTTCAAGTTTATCTGCTGCTTTCTCCGGTTGCAAAGGGCTGAAGAGCTTGTCTGGGTTTTGGGATGCTGTTCCTGCATATCTTCCTGCAATTTATTCTGCTTGCAGTGGACTTACAACATTGAACCTGAGTTATGCTACTGTTCAGAGTTCTGATCTTGTCAAGCTTCTCAGTCAGTGTCAGAAATTGCAGCGTCTTTGGGTGAGTTTACCCTTTATTGTATACCACCTTAGGTTTGACTTTGATTGTAGTAGAAACTTCCTCTGGTGGCTTGTAATTGCTTTATGCTCACGGTTTAAACCTTTTGGCTTAGATGCAGCGGCATGACATATTTTGCATTGTAGCCAATTTTTTGGAAGCATGTCTTTTCGTCGTGGGATCTGCTTTGCATTTCATTTGCTACTGCTTCTAAACTGTAGAATTACTTATTTTGCAGGTATTGGATTACATTGAGGATGTTGGCCTTGAGGCGCTTGCATCAAGCTGCAAGGACCTACGGGAATTGAGAGTGTTTCCCTCTGAGCCCTTTGTCATGGAACCAAATGTGTCATTGACAGAACGAGGGCTTGTCTGTGTTTCCGAAGGCTGTCCAAAACTAGAATCAGTTCTCTATTTCTGCCGTCAAATGACAAATGCAGCCTTAGTCACAATAGCCAGGAACCGTCCCAACTTGACTCGTTTCCGTTTATGCATCATTGAGCCAAAAGCTCCAGACTACATGACTCTGCAGCCGCTGGATGTGGGTTTTGGAGCAATAGCAGAGCACTGCAAGAAGCTACAGCGGTTCTCACTCTCGGGCCTTCTGACTGACAAGGTGTTTGAATACATTGGGACCTATGCAAAGAAGTTGGAGATGCTGTCAGTCGCATTTGCCGGGGACAGTGACCTTGGGATGCATCATGTTCTGTCCGGGTGCGATAACCTTAGGAAATTAGAGATAAGGGACTGCCCCTTTGGGGACAAAGCGCTCCTGGCCAATGCTTCTAAGCTGGAGACAATGCGATCCCTTTGGATGTCTTCATGCTCCGTGAGTTTCGGGGCGTGTAAGCTGCTTGGCCAGAAGATGCCGAGGCTCAACGTGGAAGTCATTGACGAACGGGGTCCACCCGACTCTCGACCAGACAGCTCCCCTGTCGAGAGGGTCTACATATACAGAACAGTGGCAGGTCCTAGGTTTGACATGCCTGGCTTCGTGTGGAACATGGACGAGGACTCTACCATGAGGTTTTCCCGGCAAATTGCGACATGAAAAGAAAAAGTGGAGAACCCTAAGTTTAGTGAAGCAAGTGCCATTGACGGATACAAGTGCATGTGCATGTGCATGTGACCTTGTAATGGTTGCAGAGGTGAGGTGGTCGGGTTATGAAGGTGAAGAGCGG